CCCCAAAACCCCAAAACCCCAAAACCCCTACACAGAAGAAGATATTGAAACTTTAGAAAATTATACAGTCTTGGAAGCCGACCACAAGCTTAGTATATCTTGTCAATGCACTGATCTATTACGATGAAGTAGTAGGAGATTCCATTTATGGTAAAAACCGATACCTATACAAGTGGTTAGTCCTTTGGCCATATCCTTCAGAAAAAGTTTAACTTACATTTTTGAGTACAACGACACTGCCCTTTTTAAGAGTTTTTGTGATCTTGTCTTTACAGTTCATATGGAAAGTTCCTTGCATTCTCTCACCAGTTATGTCCTACAAGATGAGAGTATTGCACTTACCTTTCACTCAACATTGTAAGTATCATTGATAATCTCAAATTTCAGTAGTTCCAGTACAAGTTGTTTCATCTTAGATCTCTGGAACTCACCTCTTTTAGCTTTAATGAAGTTGAAATCACTGAATGGATAGATTTTCATCAATCTTTCCTTTTGAGAAAGAAATTCAGGATTGACTCCAAAATGCACAAGAGCTTTTACCCATCTATCTTGAATTCTCTTCTCTCTCATCTTCTTCATCAACTCCAATTTAACTCTCGCAACATTCTCTATCCCTCCATCATTCTTAATCTTCTTATATTTTTCCTGAAGTTCTTCATAAGATTCCGCTATTAATCCCTTCTCTTCACTTAACCTACTAATATCGACCTTCTCTTCCTTAATCTCTTTGATTTCTCTCTTAACTTCAGTCTCAATCTTCTCTTCCTCCTGGTCGTCAAGAGCACTCTTCATATCGTCTTCGTCGATATTGAAGTCGTCCCGGTCGATCATCTCTGCGAGGAGGTCCCCTCCGGGACCGGAGGGGTCTTCCTCCACCTTGATGTTGGAGATGTCAATGTCTTCGATGAGAGGGGAGTCTTTGGGCGAGGTGGGGGTTTTGGAGGTGTCTGGGGTGTTCATTTTTGGGAGTGGTATTTACGCGCAAAATTTATATATGTCAAATGTGTGCTAAAAGAATTCAATATTGAACATTTGAAAAGGGGTTTTGGGGTTTTGGGGTTTTGGGG